TGCATTTACTAGTACGAAAAGTGAATCCGTTATCAAGTTCAATCCATCAGCATTTTGGCAACGAGGCTGGCCGAGAAGTAGTGTTCGCTTCTTGGCTATCTAACAGCCTGACATTTTGGCCCTTTGTCCAAGTCATGCTCCATTCTGGGCAGCACTTAGCATTATTGCATTGCAGCGAATCGAAGTGAATAGAATTGAATTATTTGGCAAGAGGTGAGTGAAAATGGGGAAAAGTTCAGACCGAGACGGCAATATATGTATGACGATTTTCATTTTACCCACCAATACGCTTAAGTGTAATTAAATTCGTCGCACTCCCCGCTCCAGGCAAAGCCTGGGCTTGCCTGGGCTCAGCGTTGAGGTCGTCAAATGGATTGATTTATGATGATGCCTTTGCCTTTGGCATTGCCTTCGCCTTTTCATCAGCCTCTCGCTGCCTGACGAGGCATGACATAATAAATTGCTGTCCTGCGTCCTTTGGGCGATGACAACGAAGCTCACACATGACTTTTAGGAGTTGCAGCAGATTTGAAAATTAATTTGGAAAACTTTTTGTTGGTTCGTCGTTCGCCGTTCGCCGTTCGCATTCTATGCGTTATTTATATTTTATATTTATTATTTAATTTTCTTTTTGTTATGTACTTTTGCCTTTCGCAGTGCTTTGCTCTGCGTCTTTTTATGCTTGGCTGCTGCTGCCAGTTTTGCCTGCTCTTTTTTACTTTTTTCATACTCTGTTCAAAAAGTGAAAACGCGCTTATTGGTTTTGTGCAATGTCCGACCGACTGTCAAGAACTAACACACTCTTTCACAGTCTTAGAGAGAATCATGGCGTCCGAAGTGCGAGCTGCAAACAGAGTATGGTGCAGTCGTGTGCACCCGACTGCAATGCTCTTGCTTGTTTTTTTTGCTCTGTTGACGGCAAAGTTTAATTTTTATTGTTGTTTGACTTTGTTAAATGATTTTTATTGCCTTTTCTTTTGGACGCGAAGGAGAAGCCTTTGTAAGAATTTAATAAAACTGCTGGCGACCATATTGCCAGGCAAACAAATGCACAATGCCCGAGAGCCGAGCACAAGCCGTACAAGCCAAGCAATTTCATCCTTGGCCCCATCCGCCCATCCGTCCACCCGCTCTGCGCCTAGTCATAGCCATTTATTGAAACCCCCAAACACCCTCCAGTTTGTCGCTTGTCGCTGTGCCTTGAGATATATGAGCGCCATTTGATTGTGCTGCAAGGTGGTTTACCAAAAACTGTGAAATGTTTTGCAAATGTCAAACGCAAAAGAGGAACTTAAATTTGATTCATAGCTCATACGCCGCGTGGCCCGCTTCGTATACGTTATCAAATTGAATCAGGTAATAAGTAAAAATAAGCCAACTTGGCCAAAAGCCACAACAAAGTCAACCAACCAATTTGTAACCGCGCAGTGCGCACATTTTTCCTTGCCAACTCCAGTTGCCCTTTCTCCACAGTTCATGCCCCATGACTCAAAGTCACCACAATAAAGGCGCCAGGCACTTGGATCTCAAGTGCTTGACGCTCTTCAGAGAACTTTGTCGGCTCTGCAGCAAAAGAGGTGAAAATTTAATTTAGTTTCTGAGATGCCAAACTTAATTAGCCGCATACCTTATATATTTTCTGTGCCTGCAATTTTCATTATTTGGCTGTAGCGTAAAGTTTCCTGTTGTGTAAAGGAAAGTTGTAAGTCAGACTTGGAAACATCATTGATGAAAGCTTTCAGTTGCAGAAAACCATCAGCTTATTCATAAAAAACAATAAAAGCTTTTGTCAAGCATTAAGTTTGTATGTAAATCCAGAGTTAATAGAATGCTTTTGCATGCGGAAATAAATGTAAGCACGAAATACAAAAAAGCGTTTGTGGAAGCTTTGAAGCTCAGAAAGCAACTTTAATTAAGCACATTATATTGTTCACAAGACACAATTATGGTAACAGGTATGCAGCAAATAGAAGAGATTTTACGAAAGTTCGTTTTTAGAAGCTTTATCAGTAAATATAAGATTAAGAACAAGTATCATTAGTTAAGGAATAAGCTCAATTCTGCGCAAGTATTGTAAAGCATAATAAAATTTAATTTTTGCAAGCTGCCAACTTTATCTTTTGACAAGCACATTAGATAATCCGATGATTGTGCATGTAAAGGGAATCCTTAAAAACTCAATTATACACAGCGCAGCTTAAAACGTTTCAAATCAAACTTAAGCTTTCAATGGGCTTAAAGTAAATTAAACGAATTGCATTTGATTATTATGGTAAGACAAAATTTTCTGTACCAGAAATTTGCAGTGCAGATAACGCAGGTGAAAGATAAATTTCGTTAAATTGATCAATAATATTTTCCATTTACATTTTATGGCCACAGTTTTGTGCTCAAACACTTATTTTTTTGGCTGGATTAGGGCTGGGTATTAAATTTAAGCCGACTTTACCCGCATTATTTATCGTCATGGACTATTAATGGCTGCTTGTTCTATTTGAATTATTTGGCATTCAACAAATTACGGCTGTCCAATGCGAGCTTATGTCAAATGGGATTTAAGCATTTCAACTGTCAATTACAGAATTGCCAGAGCAAGTGCAACTTGCCCGGGCTGCATCCCATGATTTGTGGCTATGACAATGGTGAATTAAACAAATTGAACTGTATTTTATACTGCTAAATTGTATGAATGGCTGTCAAGCCATCAAAGCTAGATTAGAGAGACAACAAATTGTAAGGCCCCCTGCCCCCTGCTCTGCCCTGAATGCCCCCGAACCACGCCCTCTACAACAAGATTCTGAGTGCACTGTTGAACTGCATTTGTGTCAACTGTTTTGTTATGGATGCTTGCATCACAGAACGATATATCTCATTCTATATATATATATATACATATGTATGTCTATGCAACTCTCGTATATACTACCAGCTGCGGAGGGCATACTGTGGCAATTGTGCTGAAGAGGACAATGTATGACTACGCATTGCGTCATTACGAGAGATACGCCCATTGTTCGAGCTGAAACAAAGCCAGGGCCCGGGCACTGCGTCAGTAACTCTAGTGTCTCCCCCTCCGTCCCTCCGTCCCTCCATCGGCCATAGTTTTAATCTCACTAATGGCAGTGGCTTTAGTTCCAGACTATGAGGAGGCCAGTGATTGTTTGGGTTTGTTCTGTGCAGGCAGCTTCAAAATCAAAAGAATTACGCGCATTCGTCAACCCAAAATAGAACTTGGCCCCGTGGCTCGGGTCTAAATGTCATTCACAGTCAACATTTCATAACACAGATCTGTGAGTGCACACACAAGAGATATTTTCCCAGATGAAAAAGGTAAAATGTTTACCCAAAAAGCATTATATTGAAGATTGTTTTACAAGTTTTTAATCACTCTCCGGCACCTTAATTGTATACCCTATAGACACATAAAGAAGGAAATTGGACCGCGTCAACCGGAAGTTGACAATTTTAATAAATGATAACTTTAATTAATTTTTTTGTGTAGAGTTCAGATGGATGGCATCAAGAAAACTTGCAAAATTAGGACCTAAACTTAGGGTATCTTCAGTCGAACACTCTATTATAATATACTGCACTTGATATATGCCGATTTGCACTAACAACATACATACATCTTACAACCTGTTTCCACTAGTGCTGTGTCCTCGTCCAAGCCCTTAAGTCGATTGCCATTTTATGCGATTAATTGTCTAATCATACAAATAAATCGATTACTTTGAAGAGCTGCAATATAACTTTATCATCAGGCTCAAACATTTATGGTGGAAAGCTTCATAAAATATTTTTGATCAATTTGAAAGGTATTTAATTTGCTTAGGCACTTTGAGATTTATTATTCCTAGCTATATAATTAGTTAATAAAATCTAAAAAGTGATACATTCAGCAACAGTCGATATAAATATCGACAGATAATTATCGATAAGGATACAAGATATCGGCAGTGCTCTCTTTAGGCTGACAGCACTAATAAATTTGCATAATTTAAGAATTTAATTAAAATTTAAATTGAATAACTTACAGCTATAAACCTATATATATTTTATCATCAAACTACAGGGTATCTTAATAACGTGAGGGTATTTCAATATTTTACATACGCTTTTTATGACAGAAAACTTAAAAATATTCATATTTAGCTTCAAGTAGTTCGTGAAACAAAGCACATCACGAGTTATTATAATATGCAAGGTTTATTTTAGTTAAATTCGATTCAGACGTGTACAAATATTGATTAAACGTGAATCACCTGGCAACGTTAACAGCAATAATATGAAAAGCAAACTTGTTTTAGCCATATGAAGATTATTCATACATATGTATCGAAAGTCTTACGCATTCTATGAGTGATTCGGCATTCATTCATGAATACTACTTGGTATGCAACTGACTGTGTTCAGTGGCGCCTTAAAAAGATAAGTTAATACGTTATTGTTATTTATTGTTTAAATTTTTAAATATGCTTGTGATATTTGAGGAGTTGCGTGAAGAGCGAAGCTCTTAATTTGTTGAGTTTGGTCAAGATATATTGATAAACAAAAACTTATTTTCTGCCCGTTCTTCCTAACGAACTACATGATTTAGTATTTCGATGGTATTTAAATATCACGATTTAATGTCAAATTTTGTTAATATATCTTGAAAAATAAACAACTTTTGAATATGTAAAATGCCCAAAAAAAAGTGAAAAGAAAAATTTAGTAAATTATGAAATTATTTACAGTGTAGCGTAGTTTGTATCATATATGTGTGAGCCTATTCTTGTACTTTTTCAAAGTTTGCATTTGTTTAAATATTGATTCTAAACGTTGAACACAATCGTGACGCATTTTTAATCCGGAGCGTCCCTGCCCCAGACACGAAACCCATCACACATTATGACTGTGCCAGATTTCTGGAGAATCTCTCGTTGTTATCTTTGAATTTCATCATGATCGAGATTCCATGAGGTCACTTGCTGGAATCATATATATTTAAGCTGGCGAATATTTTGCTGGTTGTCAGTCAACGCCAATCGCTTTGGCCATAAGCAGGTTTCAGCCATGCAACCAAGCATATTATTTGCGGCCTTCTTCATTGCGCTAAGCAATTGCATTGTAGGTGAGTGGAATTTATCGAGACTATTGAGCTAAAAATTGTTTATGTAAAAGCTTTAATCTACATTTCGTATTTTACACAGATGCGGCATCCAACGGCCGCCAGCTGCCCACATTTGGTAACCACGATGGAAGCATCTTTCACAGAGTGAGACGCCAGGCTCAGGCAACCGGCGAGGCGGAGCAGCTGGATAGATGTTTTAACCATGGAGGGTTCACACATGGACGTTTGCTGTTGATTTGGTACGAAGACGATGAATCGATAGATCCGGTGAAGTACCTGAGAAAGCTTCTCGCCGATGATCTGGATCTGCCCAAGCTAAGATTTTCCATAGAGCGCGTTCGGGTGCAGGAAAACCAAATGCTCTTCGATATGTCGAACAGCTTGAACGCGAATCAGGTATTTCGTAATTATTGTAATCTTTTCGCAAGAATTGCTGAATATCGGTCGCAAGGCTACGATGATCCAGCCTTGACCTATGAAATTGTAAAAACGGATGAGCAATTTTTCCGCTAGCCAATTCGAAAACTCAAGTATTAAAAAAGTATTTATCCAATTGATAAACTAGTCTATAGCAAAAGTATTTAATTTTTATTATTGGTAATTTTTAATGTATTAAATTTTGTTTATTTATTTATTAATTTATTATAATGTAATGGAAAAAATATTATTATACTCTGCAAGCTAAGAAGAGTACATTAATTTTCGGCAATGTCGCAGATATTTTATCCATGCTTCCAATCGAAATGCGATGTCTTCCAGAGCTTAAGAGCCAGATCTTCTAGGCAGATCTTTAAATTCCGCCACCTCTAGCCACATATTTAATTCCACAACTCTTGGCCTACAGTCAAGTGTCATAAATCCAATATTCAAGAAGATTCTTTTTTCGCTGTGCAAAAAGGGTATTTTGCAGTCAGCATCACCCAATCGCAACATTATTGCCAGCTTTGTGGCAAGTAATTGAAATTTATTCAATGCGAACTTCGACAAGGTTTAATATGATTTGTGTGTTGCATTATTATGAATTGTTTGGGTGATTTTGTAGTTAAATTCGAGGAAAACATATCCAATGCAATTAGTTTTTTGTTTCTCCATGAATGAGAGCGTCGATTGAACGTAATATAATATAAATATAAAGGAATAAAAGAACAAAAATAAACAGAAGGTTATTTAAGAATCCGTGTTCCAACTTTCATAGTATCTGTGTAAGTTTTTGTTTATATAAGTATGAATTGAAAGTTGTATGTAACTGGGTAGAGGGTATTGCCTGGGCAGGCAGTTTATACATTTGTTTACTTTTTGGTCTCTCAGCATAAAACACGCATCAGGTTTCCTTTCCTGTGTTTTTATACTACAAATTTGTACAAGGTTTCAATTATAGCATATTTTTTGTAAAAACATTCTTTGTTGCTGGAAAATGAAATAGTAGTTGCAGCACAGGTTCATTAATTTATCGTAGTCAAGGTAAAACAATTTAAGCTCATGAAAAGCATAAATAAAGTGTCGTTGTCCATGCGCCAAATCGCTTTGCCCATCTGCGCCCAGGTGCTCCGATCTGGCCGTTGAACGTGAACCAAATGCAATTAAGCTTTGTGCAACGTCAAAACGCATTTTGCGCCCAGCATGTCCCAGGTCAGAGTCGTTTATTGATGTTGTTGTGTTTCATATTAACTAGGCTCGCCCCCCAGCCCCCAGCCCGCTGCTAGCTGCAGTCCTTGTTGTCGAGCTGGTTGTACACGGCCGCAGCGAAGGAAATGGGCGAGCGCAGCTTTACAATTTACACATTAATTATGAGCAGACATGTGTTGTAGGCGTATGCGGAGCTTGAACTGCGGCTGGTAGGCAGCAGGACCTGGCCCAGGACCAGAACCAGGAACAGCACCACGCCTGGTCGCGGTAACAGGTGCCTGGTAGAGATAGGCGCAGACCGTGCTTTTCCTATGTGACAGACACGACAAGCTGGGGCACGATAAAGTCTGTAAAATAGATAGGTCATATATTGGACAACATCTGAATGTCGTAAAGAAACTCCAGATGTCACAAGTTATTTAATTAAAATTCCTTGAAACAGATTTCAGAAAACAGTTAATAGCATAAAACAAAAAGTGTTGAGTATATTTTGGATCTCGTGTCGTTCGTGCTCGTGCCCGAAAATGAGGCCCGCTTCCATCTATAGTGCCTACCGCCTGAAAGTATGCAAATGCAAGCAAAGCAAAATATGCCCCAGCCCAGCCCTTGCCTGGGACTGTTTTATGGCAGCGAATTAATGAACGCAGCAAACGAGCAGCCGAACCAGCGACAGGCACGACGACAAGGACGACAATGAGAATGTGCAGCAGGATTGCAGCGTTAGGTAGGGCCATTATTTTGCTGGTGCCGGCTCGGGCGCCGGGCGTCGGGCGCCGGCTGCCCGGTACGCATAACAGGCGGCTGCCTGCGGTCGATTCTGGGTTGTGTTTCTTGTTTTGCGTGCGCCTCCGTGTGCAATAACAGCAATAATTTATCACTCCGGTCAAAATTATGCATGGAGTCAATTGTGCGTGAAATTAAATTTTAAGCGCAAACAAGACGACTTGTCGACTCGCCCTGTTTACTCCAATAATTTGGCTAATTTCACAAGTGAAGCATTGGCCCAGCCCCAGCCCCAGCCCCAGTCCCAGTCCCGTCCCTGTGCCCGTCGCTAACCCGACAATTGTCATGTTGCACACAAATTAATTGAAAATATATCAATGTGCTTATCCAATCTACCTGATGGTCAATGACAATTAAAATGCCCACTACACATTTGCTTATTTATATACACAAGACATTTTGTGGGCGTTTCTGGTACTCATTTGAAATGTCCTCTTTGACTAGGCTAAGATGTGCAGTTAATTAATTTGAATTGAAGCAAATATTTTTAAACTATTTTTTTTTTTAAATTATTAAATTATGAAATTATTAAGACAGAAAGTTGAAGTTTTTATCAATAACTATTTAATAAAAATTGAATGCTAAAATCTAATATCCTAATCAGAGCACAAATATTTCTAATAGCATCAACGACAGAAAATGGAGGTATTTTATTTGCCCGTCCGGCCAGCTATGTCCCTTTTCACAGCTAATAGAGCCTACAGCTAAGAAGAAAGGTATGAGTAAGTATCCTTAACAATTAAAAACAATATATAATATAATAATTTTTAAACATATACAATATATTTGAAAAAGTGAGAGATTAATTGTTAAAAAGTAAATAAATTGGGACTAGTATATTGAATATTATGTAGAAATTATAGAGAGTGGGGGAAATTTATAGCCTGTTCGGCAAGCTATGCCCCTACTCATAGAAGGGAATGGTCAGTGAGTTCCCGAAGGTATCCTGAACGCAAAGATTTTATTAGGGAGAGTGAAAGTTCCATGAAGAATACGAGGTACAGTCTATGGTAGCGTAATCTGTCGTGCATGGGGTAAAAGCGATAATACCTGCTAAGACGGAGACGACCTAACAGAAAAGAAGGATCTTCTTTCGCCAACAAACAACACCGAGGAATTAATATTTATGTGAAATCGTTCAATTAATTATTAAGTCAAACTACTAAAATAATTTTTTGCTTACTTATTCACACAGTAAGAATAGTTAATTGGGTCTTTTATGTCTTATTAAGGTCTTATAAACACAATTTTTACTGCACCAAAACTCTTAAAACTCGTTTATATCCGCGTCAGATAAACCCCCACTAGGATACAATATTTGGAATGAACATTGTTGATGAGCTCCTCTAAAGATATAAGCAAAATAGTTGCTGGGAAAATAAAAAAAATTAAAATCATCATCAAAATGGCAAGGGGTTACATCATGTTTTTTCTAAAAATCGTGGTCGGTTCGAAAATCAAAACTTTTTTGATTGTTTTTTTTTTTTAATATCTCGTTTAAATATTGTCTGATTTTGAAATGTTATACCTCTTTGAATTCGTACGGATCCCTTATATCAATTGGCATTCAAACAAATTCATAATCGATGGGTAAGAAAAAATTGTTGAACAAACGACGATTCGTTTGTAAAGTCAACCTTTTTTGATGATTCGAATTTCATTCGAATTTTATATGTATCGCATTTTAAGTGCCTTGGCATTATATAGAACAATTGTAGATTTGTTTTATACCCAGGTGTATGCAAAATATGTAGGATTGGATTTTTGTCGCGAAAGCGCATTTGATTGCTTTAAAAATAATTTATTGAGTCGATTGACTTTAGTAGTGAAGTCTTTGCAAATAAACGAAATGCAATCTAAACTTACAATCTCCAGGGAAACACACACACACACACACACACAGATGCATACACAAAGTTCTGTGTTGATTTAGAGGCAGTTGGTAAATGTAAGTGCTGTGAGCGCTCCTTAGTTTAGTTCAATTTGAAATTTATTGCGGCCGGAGTTCATTCACATGGCACGTTAAAGCTTCGGCTACAAGAGTCATTCGCTTGAATAGACACACACACATACAGGCACAATCACCCCACACAGACAGGCACACACACACACACTCACTTAAAGTCAGGCCGTGCTCGAGTTAAAAACTGGCCTGACGAAATGCAAGCTGAGTCACACATGTCAATCCAATTTGTTGATGAGCGTGATGTTGAGGTTGGTCTACGGGTCAGCAGCATTGAACAACCCGGCAGTATGCTGCATTTACTGGGGTTTTCCTCAATCAAAATGCCTTGTCTTATGCATATTGATTGAAATATGTTGTCACCCGTTTAAATATCAGACAGATGATTGCTTAAATTGAATATGCACGCACCTTGGCATTAGTCTGCTCTATTCAATGAAACCACATGTTCAAACTTTCAAATTTCGCTTTTAGAATTACCAAGCACACTTTAATCTTGTTAAAAGCATTCACAGCTTGTAATCTTTTGTTAATTCAATTATATTTTGTATTATCTATTATATATAAAAATCTTTGTTAGTTTGATCAATTCAAACAAGTCATATTATAAAAATGTTAGTACACTTGTTTATATAAATCTGATCTGAATAATAAGAGTAAGAATTCATTCGAATAAGGTATTTGTTCTATTTTTAAAAGAAAGTCAATGTCTTACGAATCGCCTATACTCAAGCTTTGTATATTGCCTATAGTAAAGGGACCCGTTTCCAAACAGCTTGGACTCAGCTGAGCTTAGCTGAGTTGAGCTGGCCAAGAATATATATATATTTATATATCATTATAAATTTGATGCAACAAAATTAAAATGCATATTTATAAATTCATTCCGAAAGCAGTAAACATGAGGCAGTAAAACCAAAGGCATTTAGCAGACAATTCTGTAAATAACAGACTATGTTATTAACAGGCTCTGCTATTAGTCTCCACAGCTGAAATTCAAACGTCGCAAAGCTACCACGGCTGCGCGTAACAGAATTTTCACGAAGCGACAAAATTGTTGCCGTGTGGAATGTAAACGTAGCAGGGTGCAGTGTGTTGGGGGGGTTGATGTTGGGCCTGCAAGGGGTGGTTGTATAAGTCTTTTCTGGGCAGGCTATGAGAGGCAATTGAAAGCGTAGCCTTATCGCGTTTGCAAGCAGACAAACATGCGCTAATGTTAACAGCATGATTTACGTTATAGTTGTGGGTTTGTTACCAGAAATATTC